ATTTTCAGATGCCTCATGCTGTGCGTGATGCTGGATCGATGCCCAGCAGCTGCCATCGATGGTGACAGCTCCGAGAGTTCTGGTAGTGTTCCCCTGGCGTCGTTGGCGTAGACTGGTCCACTGGCATGTTGGCTGCTGGACTTTTCGCCGCCGCTTCGAGGGCCTTCTTGAGCCTCTTAGTCTCATCTGGGTCGGGTACTTTAGCCAAGATGCCACCAGGCGAGTCGACAATGGCGTTTGTCTCTCTCGCGAGCGTCTTGGTCGCGGCGGCCTTGTCCGAGTCGCCCGTCGTTGTGGCTGCGTCCTGTGATGCTTGCCCGACTGCCTCCTACTGGCACAGTTTGTCAACCCCCTTTCGCATGGGGGAGGGCTTGGATGGGCTGCTTTCGCATGATCTCGCTGCGCATGAACCTGCGCGACTGCCTCCCGTAGATCGCCTTCGAGCGACTTGTCCTTCTCCTGGATGTGCATTGGTGCGTCTGATACTGGCCCCACTGCCATCTGCGACATGACCTGCGACCGGCCCGGGAAAGGGGGAGCTGGAGTAGCCGATGGAGGTGACGCACTTGCTGATATAGTGTGAATGTAGTTGTTATCTGCGGCTCTATCTTCATTTCTTCCTTCGCCTTGTCGATCTCACTTGCATCCTCTTCGCGTTCCTGAGCCAGGTCTCTGAGTTGCTGAAGAATGTCTTGTTCGCGTTCTTCCGCCTTGGCCAACTGTTCTTTTTACTGCGCCCAATCTGGCCCCGCAATGACTGGGCTTGCTGATCGAGAGGTTTTCCTTGAAGAACTCGCTGCTTTTCCGCTTTGGGCTGGAGAACTGCCTGCCCGCAATTGGGCCCTCCGGCTCCGTAATTTGATTTCCAGACTTGGACGAGGTTTGTGCAAGTCGTGACAGGGTCTTGCTTGAGAGAGGTGGGCGCGGACATGAATTCCTCGACCTCCTCTCGTACTTCTGCTGACTCTGGCTGTTTGCTTCCTGCTCGCTTTCCTCGCCCCAGCGCGCGTGGTCGGATGGCGGCAGCGATCCTCCGTCATCCTTGCTTTTGCCTCGACCCTTCAGCGCCCACCACGCAATCAACATAATGTGCTTCCGCTGTCGCACCAGTCCCAGCCCTTGCATTGCTTCTCCCCGCAATAAATGTATTCTCGAGCTGAATGATGGCGACGGCGTCTCTGCTGAGCGCGGCGCGCCATGGCCTGTGTGCTGCCAGAAAAATGGCGAGAAGGCAGCGCGCGATTGGCATGGCCGTGAAAGCGGCGATGGTGTGTAGGCCCGCGGGCGCGGGCGCACTGCGCGCGGTGCTGTCTGGCAACGTGGTCACAGAGAGTGTGGCTTCGAAGTGGGGCCGCCCGGCGGGCTGCCCGCACTCCGGCGCGCCGCTGGAGGGCGCCCAGCACCGTTTCTGGGATTGCCCGCGCTGGGGTTCAGCGCGACGCGCCGCCTTCGCGGCCGCGGGGCCCACCCCCGAGGCGGCGCGGGCTTGCAGACCACCTGAGGCGGCACTGACGGGGGTCCTGCCGCGCGACGCGCGTTTGGCGGTTCTTGCCGACCAGGCGACGTGGCCGCTCCCAGTGCTGGCGCTGCCCGGCTTGGCCGCCGTTCTGCGGGGGTCGCGGGCCCATGGGGGCGGGCGTGGACCGACGGCGATTGCGTGCGCCCAGCCGACCCTCTGCTAGCCAGGGCTGGCTGGGGGGCGCGCGTGGAGCACCCTGCTGGCACGACGCTGGAGCGCGGGGGGCCGGCGGCGGCCGGTCGATGGCGAGCGGGCCGCGCAGCGCGCTGAGCTCTCGGCTGCCCTGCAGGCGCTTGAGCTGGCCGGTGGGCCGGCGGAGGTCATCGCGGATCTGAAGTACGCGAGCAACGGCGTGGCGGCGCTCCGGGGCGGGACAACGCCCGTGGAGTGGTCGCACGCCGACCTCTGGGACAAGCTAGCATCATACTGCTGGGCCGACTGGCTGAGGGCCCGCTGGGTCAAGGGCCACGAGGAGGAGGCGCGGGGGGGGGGCTCTCCCCGGAGGACCACGTTGGCAACGCGGCGGCCGACAGACTGGCTGGCGCGGCCGCGCGGGCGCGCCTGCCCGCCCTGCTGCAGCAGCGCGAGCGGCAGCTGCAGGCGCTGGAGGGCGTCCAGCGAGCTCTGGCGGCGGTGGAACTGGCGCCCCTCAAAACCAACCACGACTGCGCCGCGCCAGGCGGGCCCCCGGTGCGGCGCCGATGGGCAGCCGTCCGGCGCACCGCAGGCCAGCGACGCCCGGCGGCTGCCGGCGGCGGGCCGCCGCCGCAGGCGCCGCCAGTAGCGCCGTAGGCCCCGCAGCCCCTGCGGCGCCAACCGCGGCAGCCCGCGGCGGCGGCCGCCCAGGCGCTCCTCGGCGGGCGGTCCTGGAGGGCCCACGCCGCCTCGCAAGGGCCAGGCTGGGTAATTAGCCTGCCTGCAGTGCGGCTGCACGGCGCCGGGGTGGGGGGCCCTGGCTGGCTCACAGGTTTCTTTGCTCCCGCAGGTCCCACAAGTCGAGGTCCCACAGGTCCCACAGCTCCAACAGGGCTCGTTGGTCCAGGAGGTCCGAGAAATCCCAGAGATCCGACCGGCCCCCAAGCCACGGAGGGCTCGCGGGTCTCGTAAGTCCGCAGGTCCCCCGTAGGTCCCACAGGTCCCGCAGGTTCTGCATGTCCCACAGATCCACAGGTTCCACAGCTCCAACTGGTCTAGCAGGCTTCGATGGTCCCACATGTCCTGCAGGTTCCGCAGGTCTCTCATGTTACTTTTGCTGTTATCAGGGTGCTTTGCTAGGGTAAGTTTTGAAGTGCTGCGCGCACGTAATTGCTTGAGCTGCGCGCAGTGCCGAAGGAACCATGCGCGCAAGTTGCAAACGCTGCTCCACAAATGCGGAATTTCACCCGTCCTGAATTTGTTCATGTGAACTTGCGGAGGCGGTGTTTTCCATCGTGGTCACGTCTCAAGCGGAATGCTCGGCCTAGCTTGCGGACTCGTTTGGTGGTGCGACGGGGGGAGCACTGTACAAGGATGAGGGTTGCTTGGAATGAGGAGTAGGGAGGAAGGGAAGAAGGACTAGGAGGGAGGAAAAGGAGGGAGGGAAGGAGGGAGGGAGGAAGGAAAAGGAGGGAGGGGGAGGAGGAACAGGAACAGGAGGAGGAGGAGGAAAAGGAACCTTTTGCTACTCCCACGGGGCCGAGCTGCACCCAGCGATGCAGAAATATTCCAGGTCAGGCGCCTATACTCCTACCTTGACGCGCGCCTGCGTCGGTAGACGAGCATGAGGAGGCCCATGTTGGTTTCGGGCGGCCGCCTCCGCCGCCGTCCTGGCGTCCTGCCCAAACTCCGCTGGGGAACCTCCGACAGCGTGTAGGAGCCTCCGACAGCGATTGAGCACCATTGGAAGCAACACCCCAAAACGTCATTTCCTCAGGGATTCACCTGGGGGGGAATCGGACGCACCTCTATCGAGGATGGGCGTCCCCCCATCAGATATCACGAAGAGGCGGAGGAGGAGGAGGAGTAGGATGAGGAGGAGGACGAGGAGATTGGGCAAAGCTTGCAGGTAACATCTGAGCACGGCGCTGCCCTCAATTAGGGGTATTTCGTTTTTGTTTGTTTTTTATTTTTTTCTTTTCCGGAGCAGTGCTAACCAGTTCTGAGAAATGCTGAGCATTGCAATGCAACGCGTTGCTTGGCATTTCTTGACATTGCACTGCGCTGCTTGGCGTAACTTGGTAGGCATTGCACTGGCTGCTTGGTAGACAACGCCAAGCAATGCAACGCGTTGTTTGGCGTTGACTGGCGTTGCTTGGCGTTGTGTGGCGTTGCGTGGCATTGCTTTGCGTTTCTTGGCATTGCTTGTCATTGCTTAGCTTTGCTTGACATTGTTTGGCGTTTGGTGGTGTTGCTTGGTATTCGTTTGCAGGCATTGGTTGGCATTCCGTTGCGTTGGTTTGCCTTGATTGGCCTCGCTTATTGTGCTGTTCATGCAATGGCTTTGTTTGGCCTTGCTTGGCATTGCGCGGCGTTATTTGGTGTTGCTTGGCGTTACCTGGCATCGCTTGGTGTTGCTTGTCATTGTCTTGCATTGCTCTGCTTCGCTTTACGCTGCTTGGGGAACTTTCGCGTTGATTGGCGTTGCTTGTCATTGCTTGTTATTGCTTGGATTTGCTTTGCGTTGCTTGACGCTGACTTGCTATTTCTCTACGTTGCCTTACACTGCCTGGAAATACTTGGAACCGTTGCTTGGCATGACTTGGTGTTGCTTGGTGTTGCTTGGCGTCACTTGGCATTGCTTGGCATTGCTTGGCGTTGCTTGCCACCGCCCTGGCAGCCCCTGGCAACACCCAGCAATGCCGGGGGCCGCCTTTGTCAACGGACACCGCACATACGAGTTTCTTCCACACAGGTGAGAAACTTTTAGGTCAATCGTAATTCGGGACCTCGGGTTGGATGTGCCAAGCCCTCTTGACTCCAGCGTTTGTTCGGGGGCTTCCTGCGGGGTCCTTATGCGCTTGTTTGGCCGAGTTTGTGGAGTGCTGGGGCTTAATGGGGGAAGTTTGTTTGTGTTTTTGACCGTCCCTCCATTTAAATTCAGCGTTGATCGCATGACGGCAAGTGGGTGCTGACAACGTCACCGGCGCCGTGGACTCTGAAATTGGGATCTTTGCACATGTTGTTCAGGCGCACCCTGCTTTTCTTTTCTGCCGTTTCGGGAGCTTCAGTGAGCGGAGTAAGTGGTCTTGCTTTATCCTGCTCGTCCTCCTCCCCCGTCTCCTCGGTTCGTGGCAGTGAACGGGTGTACCTGAGGCCTCATATGTGTTGAGTTCCGGGGGGGGTGGCTATAAAGCCAGGGTGGCAATGACTTGAATCACGAACGAAAATACAGAGGACCGAGCTCTGCAGCACAGCGCAAGATAATTGTATCATGCTCTCTTAGCCGCCGCCGCCCGCCGTCGGGCGGCCCCTTGGCTTCTCGGCCAAGCTCCCCCGGGAGCAGGCCGTGACGAGGACCGCGGGCACATCTGAGCAGCCGAACGGCAACGAGGCGTCGGATCTACGCCAAGGGATGATGATGTTGATGCTGCTGCTGCTGCTGCTGATGATGATGATGTTGACGATGCTGAGAATGCTAATGATGATGATGCTGCTGATGATGAAGGTGGCGGCGATGATGATGCTGGTGATGATGATGCTGATGCTGCTGCTGATGATGCTGATGCTGATGGTGATGCTGATGTTGATGCTGATGCTGATCTTGCTGATGATGATGATGATGATGATGATGATGATGATGATGATGCTGACGATGATGGGGGTGATTGGTTCAGAGTGATGACGATGAGTAAGGGGAGGAGGACGAGATACTTGTCGACATCAGTACCCTGTTTTTCCTCATTCCCATCATCGTTCTTCTCGTCCTCCTCCTCTTCCTCCTCTCAATTGTCCGCCACACCATCGTCATCATCCTCCCCCTTCTCCTCCACCTCCTCGTCATTCTACGTCTCCTGTTGGTCCAACCGTCATTTCTTCTCCCCCTTCGCACTCCCTTCACTTCCTCCTCATGACCATGCTCCTACTCCTGCGCTACACCTGCTCCGCCTCCTCTGCCCGCCGTCCTCCGCATCATATAACTTTCTCTACTCTTATCAATTTCCCCTCCTTCTTGCATAGGGGCGATGGGAGGAGGCCGAGAAGTTGGAGGACGAGTCATATAGCGAGGACGAGGAAGAGGAAGAGGCGTGAGATGATCAGGAAAAGGATGGAGAGGAAGAGGAGCTAAGCATTGACGTTTTCCTCCTCCTCCTTCGTCCTCCGCCTCCTCTCTCCCTTTTCTCCTTTCTCATCCTCCTCGAGCTTTTTTGTCGCGCTTCTTGCATGAGGGAGGGGGACGAGGGGGACGAGGAAGAGGAGGATGAGGAGGAGGAGGAGGAGGAATGCGATAATGGTTACAATGTTTCCAACTATCGGGGGAAGCTTGGGATTCGGAACCTGATAATATATGTTTGCTGAGGTTGCTCATGGCATGGCTCAGCAGGAGGCTGACTCCTCCTCTGTTCCCAGGGTACGTCCCGACAAACTGACTGTGAGCAACTTGCTTCCACAAAAGCACTGGGTATGGCGCAGACGCATTGCAAACCTTCTCGAATGAAGTGACGGTCCTCTTCTCGTCGCCGTACTCCGTAATGATGGAGTCGATCGTCGGCTGGACATGGTCCAAAGCTTTGTCCACTGCGGACATGGCTTCTGCTGTGTCAGGGGGAGTTTGCGAAAGGCCGAGAAGCTAGTAGCAAGTAGGACTGGGTCACGCGGCTCTTGGAATTAATGGGGTCCGTAGCCGCAAAGAAATGGTCACAACGCTTGCTAAAGCACTTAGCTGACCACTTCGGCAACACCACTAAACCTTTTTAGCTAAACCCATACAACATTTTGTCTATCGGTTGACACACCTGGGTGTACGTATAGCTAGCCGTATACCAAATGTTTAGTACGGTGCTAAAGTACACACCATACTATGCATAATACATGTAACATCTATCGAACGGATGCCCAACTTACGCTAAGTACGTAAACGAATGTATATGGACCAACGGATGCACTCAGATGACACGAGTTACCAAGACGATGCTACAATGATGATATGGCGTTGCTACTGTTTGCTAATGTTATGCATCCTTGGCAAGCGTTGCTGAAACGACAGCCTTTCCAAGCAGAAGACCCACAGAGGCTCCAAGAAGTGCCCAAGAAGCCCCACGAGGCCCCCACGAGACCCGCAAACACGCAACATGAGGCCCCGACCACGCCCCAAGCGGCACCCCAATAGAGCTCCGATAAGCACAAACCATCGGTTTCCTATAAGGAAACTGGTAGTTTGCCGTGTTCGCCTTTTGGCTTCCATTGCGCCCAAGACGGCCCATAAGGTACCCAAGACGGTCGAGGATGCCCCAAAGAGGGCTCCAAGATGGCCCACGAGGGGGGCAAGACGGCCCACGAGACGCCTAAACCGCCCAAGAACGCCCCAAGTCGGCGCCCAAGACGGGGTCGAGGAACCGAAAATGCGAGCCATTTGCTCCGAGAGGCCCCCAGGAGACCCACAGAGCCACAGAGGCTCCAAGAAGTGCCCAAGAAGCCCCAAGAGGTCCCCAAGAGACCCACAAAAACACAAAATGAGGCCCCGACCACGCCCCAAGAGGCACCCCAATAGAGCCCCACTACGCAACAATCGTCGGTTTCCTATAAGGAAACTGGTATTTTGCCGTGCTCGTCTTTTGGGTTTCCATTGCGTCCAAGACGGCCCATGAGGTACCCAAGACGGTCGAGGATGCCCCAAAGAGGGCTCCAAGACGGCCCACGAGGGGGGCAAGACGTCCCCCGAGGCGCCCGAACCGCCCAAGAACGCCCCAAGTCGGCGCCCAAGACGGGGACGAGGAACCGAAAACGCGAGCCATTTGGGCCAAGAGGCCCCCAGGAGACCCCAAGAGGCTCCAAGAAGCGCCCAAGAAGCCCCAAGAGGCTCCCAAGAGACCCGCAAAACCACAAAAGAGGCCCCGAAGCAGCCCTCCAGTGGGCCCCCCAAAACGGCCCAAGAGAGCCCCAGGGCGCGCCCAAGAGGGTCGACCAAAGAGCTGGTTCGTCTTTCCACACTCTGCACAGGGTCCGTCCCCGGCGGTGCCTCAAGCAGGTGTTGCCACTGGAGTCCTCACTTGCCTGAGACAAGCTCCAAACATGTTTTCGCACAGCGATTCCTGTGTCTGTGACACGCTAGAAGAACCTAAGCGCACGCGAAGCGTGCGCGTGGTTCTAGTTCATATGTGTATGTGTGTATATATGCGTATGTATGTCTGTTTGTGTGCTTGCTTGTTGGTTTGAATGTTTGTGTGACTGTATGCTTGTTTGTTTGTACGTATGTATGTATGTGTATGTATGTGTGTATGTATGTGTATGTATGTATGCGTGCATGCAGGCAGGTAGGTACGTATGTATGTATGTATGTCTGTCGGTATGTATGTTTGTACGGTAGGTAGCTAGGCAGGTAGGTAGGTATGTACGTATTCTAGGTATGTATATATGTAGGTATGCATGTGCATGGCTATACGCACTAGAAACACGCGCGCACTTCGCTCGCGCTTAGGTGCTAGCAGTCTCCAGCCCTTTGGCCTTGTCGGGCCGCTGTTGTTGCTCATTCGTTCCCCCTGAAGCTTTTTGGAGCATGCGGGGGGTGGCCGGGAGGCCTCGGAGGGGGGCCGAAGGTGGGGACAGAGTTTGCACGTAGTGCGTTTGTGGGCTTGTGCCGTCGCGTGCCGCCCTGCATCCAGAGAACGAGATGCAGTGGTTGCACCCTCCTCCTCGTCGTCCTCCGCCTCGTCCCGTCCTTCTCCTTATCCTCCCCTCCTCCTTCTCGTCCCCGTCATCACTCTTCCGACTCGTCGCCCTCCTCCATATCATCAATGTTTTCCTCCTCATTAATGTGAGGCCGCACCCAAGCGTTTCGGAAGCCCGCAGTGGGCCGTGCATCCTGAGGACGCGTTGGCAAAAGAGCACCAAACGCGTCCCGAATGCAGTCCGAGCAGAGCAGTTCGCCAAACGCGTTGCGATACTGCATGTGCGAATCACGGATAAAGTTACCCCATTGCATATGCTTTGTTTGCCCATTGTTGTCTTGGTCAGCCTCGGCAGCGGTGGCGAGCCATTTTTTTCGTCAAGCCGTCCACGGCACAAACAAGTTGTCAGACTAAACCAGGGCCTGGCCGCGCTGCAATCTTCTGGTACACATGGGCTTGTTGATCGTGCAGAATTTCAGATAAAGGGCTCTCGAATGCCCCTTGGGGTTGTCTGGCGGTGCCGCCGAATGTGAGGCCCTTCTACGGGCTCTTTCGGAGGCGTCGTGGGCCCTCTTAGGAGGTCTCCTGGGCCGACTTGAGGCGGGCTTGGAGGTTTCTGGGGCCACCTTGAGCGCTCCAGAGCTTGGCAAAACCAGAAGGCAAAAACCGTTGAAATACCGGGCTTGTCACTCTGGGCGTCCTTTTGGGTGTCATCTCGGGGCTTTCCCAGAGCGTCGCCAGCTTCGGGATCCATCTTGAGGCGATGTTAGGCTGTCTCGGGGCGCCTGGGGTCTCTTGGCGGCCTGTTGGGGGTTGGCTGGAGGTTGTGTCAGTGGGGCCCACACGTGTGCTTTCATGGAGGCGTCGTGGGCTCTCTTGGAGCGCCTTTCTGGGCCGTCTCGGGGCTTTCTGGGGCGCATCTTGTGCCGTCTTAGGCGGTCGGGAACAAGAACAACGCAAGCCGCGAACATTAACGATAAAGCTACAGAAGCTTTTTCTCTGGTCCCCCTCTTTCTCGGATGGTCGCGGGGAATTCTGGAGCCATGCTGATCGCTGTTGGGCCGTCTCCGATCTGCCGGAACTCCGCTGGGCGGTCTTGGGCCAGTCTGGAGGCCGTCTTCAGCCGTCTCAGCCGTCTGGGAGCTTTCGAAGCTGTCATGAGGAAGCCAGGGGCGGCCATGCCAACTGGTGGCAGCGATCTGGACACCCCTTGGACAACATCCGCGCTCAGATGACGATGATAACGAAGAGAAAGGAGGGGGAGAAAGAGGATAATGGACACTTGGTGTGAGGCTTGCCCACGGTTGGCGTTCGGGCTTGGATTTCTGAATTTGTCCAGCCGTGGTCACGAGAGGGTGCCCTGATGGCCCAGAAGATCCGACACGTCTGAGAACCCGTTTGGATCGTCTTGGAGCCCCAAATCCCAGCATCAAGAATCGTCAGGAATGCCTCGGGGCGTCTGGGGGGTGGCTCTTGGGGGCCTTCTGGGGTCTTCCCGGGAGCTTGTTGGGGGCCTCTCAGGGCTCATTTCAGTGCGCGATTCGTGCGCCATGGGGTGCTGGAAGCTCCTGATCTACATGCTTCTCGCGAACGTGTCTGAGGCAATAGTTGAGCCGATCATGTAGTCCAGAAATTGTGTGCCCTCCTGATACGTCGCGCTGGTAGCTGGAGCGCGCTGGAAGAAATTGCACGAGCCAGCGTTAAACGAGATGTCGTAGAAGTAGTA